GCGTTTTCTGTCCTGTCCGCTAGCCTGTTCCCGGCCCCTGACAGTTATATGGGTTGGTGGTCTCTTTAAGTAGGGTTTCTGTTTTATAGGGCATATGTTCGGGGTTTGTATCTATAGGGGCTATATTCAGGTACAAGGGTAACAGATAAAGAGGCCACCGGCCTTTATAAGGCAGACGCTTTGTGATGCTCTTTCTGGTGGAGCGAGCAACTTTGGTGGGGACGTGTCTTGAGGATAAGTCCCTGCCGGAGCATGCTGACAATACAGGATCCGCGTTACCAACCTCGACCAGTCCCTGTGAGATGGGTGCCCGAGTGGTGCGCGCAGTTCGGGTGGAGCCAAAAAAAATGCCCCAAAGGGTTTTGTGTTTCGGGAATCGGGTTTAGGGTAAAGGGTCAAGTGCTGCCCATTTCTCAAGCCAACCCTCAGCGCGTAAACTGCAGATTCTATAGATGTACAAACCCCTGAACTCTGAACCTGAACCTCCTTACTTGAAGGTTCAGGGTACTTATTTAAATAAATGATAACTGTATTTATAGCCCAAGTTATAGCACTTCAGGGGCTTATCAGTGGTTATAAGTATATGGTTCTAGTTGGTTAATCTTATTTCTTGTATTAGGCGCTTCGTATAATATGCTCCATTTCTTCTTCTATGTTAATGCATGATATATTAAATTAGCTTACAAAATTGTTCATCAACTAGTTAATAATGTGGAAGTTCAAAAAGGTATATATCGATAGTAGTTGTAAAGTCAGTGTTACCTGAAACGGTTCAATTAGAAGATGATATGTTATGCCAAATACATAAGGTAAGCATTCCTCATTCTTGGTATTCAATAAACAACACAAGTAACAAAAAGATTGGAGACATCAAGTTATACCCCCTGGTGTCATAGGCAGTATTACTTATATTTATTGGAGACATCAAGTTATACCCCCTGGTTTCATAGGCAGTATTACTTGTCGGAAAGTAACAATTCCCGAAGGCAACTACACAGCGGTAGATTTAGCACAAACCATCCAAATAGCGATTACTTTGTTCGTGGATACAAACGACAGACCCAACACATATACTTTAAGTTACAACATCAACTGACAAATTTACAATCAGTTCTAACTACGCAACGGCAACTTTTTGTTCGTCTCACTGATGGAGAGGTATCATCGGTTGCAAATTTGTTTAGTGACCCTGTTGATGTTCATCACTTATATGGGTTTGGGGGTTTCGAGTCTAGGGGATAGTTTCTGCGCACCCCTAAACAACCCAAAGCCCCAAACCCTAAGCCCTATAAGACCTATCCAAAGCCCTACACCTACTCAAACCAGAAGCCCCCCCAAGCTAACGAACCCTGAGCCGCACATCCAGGTCCTGGCTGCCGAGAACTTGCGCGGCCTGCCTGCAAGCTTGCGGCCGTAGTCGGGGTTTCGAGTGCATCAGTGTATAGGGTTTAGGGTTTAGGGTTTGGGGTTTAGGGTTTTGGGTTTAGGGCGATTTCTCCACGAATGCCCCCGAAATTGAGCACGAAGTATACTCCGAAAATTGTCGGGCTCGGCTGGCGAGGGCTCTTGCAATGCGAAACCCCTGAAAGGCCGACAAATCTGAAGGGTCTGTGAGAAGCCCGAATGGGACAACCCTAAACCCTAAACCCCAAACCCCAAACCCTAAGCCGGACCCGGCCAGCCAGCCTAAACTAGGGAAGCCCCTCGCCAAAAACACCCCCCAACAACCTTGTTCACGAAGATTGCCCTGGAGCTAAACTTGGAGGCTCAGGGTACCTATTAACCAAGTTTAACTGTACTTCTAACCCACTTATAAGCCCCTTAAGTGCCCTAATATGATGATAATTTGGGTTCTAAGCACAGCTATAATTGGTCAATAAGTACCATGAACCTTCAAGTACAGCCCTCCGTGGGAATGAACCCGTAAACTTGGGGGGCCGTATGGGAGTTTACGAAAATAGGGGACCCCTAAAACGGACCCCCCACATAGTAGGATTCTGTTATCAATAAGGACCTAAGGTACCCCTAATTTGGGCGACCCCCATATACCCTTTACTACAGCTCTTATTGAGGTATATCAACCCATACGGTTTTTTTAGGGTTCATTTGGTCCCCAAGGTATAGCTACTGCTTGTTGGCGGGCGATTGTCTAAGGCCAAACCCCTGTACAACTCAGCACGCTTATGGGGAACAGCTGTCCTCGGGACATACATTGCCTTCTTGCTTCGCAGTTCTGGGTTTAACTTGGTTTTGGAGTACTACACTTTAACACTTTTTTTGGTTCTGGGCTCCTATAATGGCTACTTATACCTAGAAAGTGTATACTTTTTTTTCCCGGGTCTACTCCAAAGCCAAGTTAAGGGTGCCTGCTTCGAGGTCTGGCAGGCTTGTGGGGGGAGGCTCAGCTCATCCTCCCTGCGATGTGCCTTGCACCTGGCCTCCCAGGATGTTTTACCCCAAACCCTAAACCCTAAACCCTAAACCCTAAACCCTAAACCCTAAACCCTAAATCAGATAGCCAGCTCCTCGAAGTATAGGCAGCGACCCGACCCTTTCACTGTGCGAGGCTATGCGAATGAACGAGGAGTTCTGCCATGCGGCCAGGCATCAGCAAACGACACAAAGTGCAATAAACCTTAATTAAGGGGTTTAGGGTTTAGGGTTTAGGGTTTGGGGTTTGGGGTTTGGGGTGTGGGGTTCAGGGTTCAGGGTTCAGGGTTTAGGGTTTAGGGTTGGGTTTTGGGTTTATAATTTGGGAATATTCCTTAATGAAGGGGTATTGGAGTCCCTGGGTAAGTCGCTGGTCTCAGGGTTTAGGGTGCAGGTACGTAGTTTGAGGGATCAAGCGCATGCGAGACGATGTAGGATTGCGCTTCCTTGTCCTGAAAACGCAGGACCTGTGGAAGTGTTGCGGGAGTGCACTGTTTTGAGCATTTCTTCGTGAGACGCACGCATGGCATTCCTCATGCAAGAAAGTGAAAAATCAATGTCAAACACTGACACCATACTGGGGGGACGTTTGCCGGAGCGTCCGGCTCTTGTGTTTCCTCTTTTTTCATGTTATTTCTATCCTTTTTTTGTGGGGGGGGGGGGGGGGGTGGGGGGGAAGGGGGGGGGGGCATGGGGGAGGAGGGGGGGGGGGTAGGGGGGGGAGGGGCGTTGAGCGGGGGGGGGGGTGAGGGGGGGGGGATGCGCGTGTGTGCGACGGGTAGCGGGGGGGGGGGAAGGGAGGGGGGGATCATTCTCACTCCAGGTTCAAGGATAAAAACGTTAAATATGAACACTCCCCACGCTTGACCTTTATACTTGGAGGGTGTCAGGGTAATTATATCAACCAATTACGCTGTACTTATATACCCACTGATAAGACTTCCCTTCATTTGACACCTAATATGATCATAATCTGGGTTATAGTACGTTATACGGTCAATTAATACCGTGCCCTGAACCCTGAACCAACCCTAAAACCATAACCCTAAACCCTAAACCTAAACCCTAAAACCCTGAGAACCTACAAAGGAGCTGTTTTCTGAACCCGCGCGGGAAGCTCGAATAAAAGCTGTCCCTAGAGAGGGCCCTGTGCAGCGTGGAAGTTTCAGAAATGTGTTTTTCTGGAGTTAGGGCCACTCGTTTCGCGTGTCTGTTCGGGTTTGTATTTTGTTTGGGAGTTTAGGGTTTTAGGGTTTTAGGGTTTCAGGGGCTAATTTAGGTTTAGGAGGGGTTTTCAAGCTTCAAGGCATGGCAATGTTTTGAGTTGTACCTGGTAGTTACGCGGCACAGGGAAAACCACTTTTGGGAGAAACCCTGCGCCGCGGGAAGCGCGACTCGATGCTTTGTTGAGGCCGAACAGGTCACGAATGTCCCCGAGATTGCTTAGGAACCTCAGATCAGGCCTAAGCGAAAAGGAAGAGGACCGGCTGTACTGGCCCGGCTGAAGGCCGTACTGCCGGAAGCGTTGGGTTTAGGCGAGCCGGCTGTACGGGGCTCTGGCCAGCGGGCACTGCATGCACGCGTGTGGCGCTCAATGCTTTACATTTTCAATCGGAGTGAGCAAGCATAGGACAGACGAGGGGCAGTGCAAAGCTGGGGGGAGGACAAGCGGAAAACGAGTTCCGGCAGCGCCTACGGCGACTGGAAGCCGCGGAAGGGGCGTTGTCAATGGCAGGTACGCGCCGCAAGAGATCCCGCGCGTGCATTTCTGCCGTCTGCAAATCACGCTGAATTGCACACTGATCCGCAACAAAGCCCGTCGGCTCACCGGTACGAGCCGATGATGGGAGTCCCAGGGAGCGCCAAAGTTTCGCATGGCAGTGGAGCCCCAGCCGCCGCACTGGCCTCGCGACCAGGGGCACGAATTGGAGCCCTGCTCTCGCATTGGGGCGGCCCGTTGGAGGTACGTGCGTTGCGCTCCTCATAAGAGGTACAAGCACGGAGCCACAGCGGCCCGAAGCTGCCAAGAAGAACCCCCCCGCGACGCCCCTCGTGACCTGCAAGGTCGAAAAAGCTTCTGGACGCGGAGGCCCCAGCGCTCACAAACCGTCAGCAGGCAGGTGGCCGCCGACCACTGCAGAGCAGCAGCGCACCAGCCCGCAGAAGCCAAGCTCAGTTTGACGGCCGGTAGCAGACCCCCCTCTCGAATTCGGGGAAGGCCCCCGCCGCAGCGGCACGGGCTCTAATCCAGTAACGCAGCGGTTGTGGCGTTTGATGCGGATCCACCGCCGAACGGACAGGCGAGGCATGATCACCATGGCAGTCCATCACAACCGTCGCATAGGGGGCAATACTCTTCAGTGATAGATCAGAGAACGGGTAGGCGTAGGCGCATGCGCAGGAGTGTCCGGAAGACTCTGCGGCTCAAGCAAAAGCCCAAGGGCGTCAGCAGGACGGCGGAAACCAGGTAACCGGCCCCGGTCCCAGTTCAACAACGGAGGGGCACGGGAAGGCTCGTCGGGAGCGGCGTCGAAGCAAGGACAAGCCCTTGCCCTCTCTCATCCAAGTCGATGACCGCTGCTGCTGCCGGACAGAGACGATGGGCTGAGTGGGCAAACTTCCTGCTGCGGCGCGACGGACGCAGTGAACTGCTGGCGACAGAGCGGAACATCAGGGCGGTAGTTAGCGTCGAGCGATCTGACAACACGCAGCGGGTGGCAACAACGGAAACATTTAGGCGGCAGCGCATGCTGCGCTCTTTCGCAGGCCCAGTCTTCGCCGACGGCAACACGCAAAGGCCGGCTTGGCGCCAAGCGAGCTCAGGAGGAGAGGGAGCCCCCCTATGCCCTCAAAGCAGGCGCGGACACGGTCATCGAAGCTGCGGAGGGCAATCGACGTGCAGGACTGGCTGGAAGTCATCGCATGTCATGCGTGACCTTGCAGTACGAGGAGTCAGTGACCGCAAAAGGTGTAGGGACCGCCCAGTTTGAGGGCACGCAAGGTTGCCCAGAGCTTCCAGCAGAGGAGCAGACTTGGTAACCCAGAAGTCTCAGAGCACTGCCGGTTGCAGTATTTGGGGCCCCGAGCGCAGCACCAAGCAGAGGCATTCACCGTGACGCCGGACAAAAGCCGGGAGGCAGGCCGCGCAGTCAGCGCTAATGGTCGGCTAGTGACACCCACATTCGGACTTAGCAGCTTCCAAAACGAGACCAACTGCACAGGCCAGAGGCAGTGAGGGCGTGAGCGCTTGAGGGGCTTGATGGCTGGTGCCGGCAAGGACACATCATCATGGAAGGCCGAACGGAGGGTCCGAAGGCGACCTGAACAGCAGACAAGGCAGCTGGAGGGGAGGGGCGAAGAGCACCGGCTCTAGAGGGTTCCCTTGCTGGACTCCCGCAGCAGGATCTTACACCACCCTCCCCGCCAACAGTGAGACGGAGTGGCATGCCATGAGGACCAGTCAGGCCCAGCACGCAAACTTCAGGCAATGCTCACGGACCTTCCCGCAACATAGCATTACCGAGCTGTCCCGATGTGTTGAAACGTGCGGAAGTCGGTTTCAACAGTACCCTTGTCGACGTGGCCTGCATTGCGGTGTAGCCATTGGCGCGTGGCATGGGAACGGCTGCCTCCGTCCCTGCAGGGACGCCGACCCCCGAGCTTGCAAAGGAAGGCTAGAGGTAGTCCCTGCCTCCTCGCGAAAGCCACGGCAAAGGACTTTCCCACAAGTTTGCGCGAGCACTTCTCGACAGCGATGGGCCGCACTCCGCCTTGCGGTTTCGGAGGGCGTGGAGGGTAGCGCCCGCAGATGAGGGAGCACGGGGAGGCTGGAGCCTGTCCCCCGACAAGGAGTTGGCAGAGCGCTGGCAAGGTGAGTATGACCTCATCAGAGTGGGCGGTAAGAACTTCCCGTAATGGTCGGGCGAAGGCACGAAGGCCAGCCAGGCGAAGAACCACGCTTGATCCCCGGCATATCTTGAGCCTCCGAAACTTCCGGCATCAGCCGCGAACTCAGGCACCTCAGCCTGGCCGAGCGCGCCAAGAGCGGCACAAGTCCCGGGCCAGGAGAGCGAGGATTCTTGGAGCGAAGCTCTTCGAGCACAGCCGGGGTGGGAGGCTAATGGCGTGGGGTCAAACAAGGGCAGCGCTGGCGCGGGAGGAGTCGCCTTCAGCCGCAAGAGCCCTACTGCGCAAGGTGCGCTGTCCTCACTTGCCCGGCCCGGGAAGAGCGCGGCGCGGGCTAACCCAGCTCCTTGCCAACAGTCTAGCAACGGTCACCCTCAAGCCAATCGTTGACATCGCCGGCGGTAGCCTGAGCAGCCCTGTGCGCGGTGGCGGCGCACCCCCCCGGAGGAGCAACAAGGACAGCTTTTCGGAGCATCAAGAGCTCCTGCCACGCGGCAACTTTTACGGGCAACAGGCTTCTGCAGCAGCGCGTGCAAGGCACTGAGACCACGCAGCCTGGCAGCAGTGGGATGTGGCGGCCGAAACCGATTTTGTCGACAGTTGGCATCCAGGATGTCCCCGCCAAAGTTATGGCATAGCAGCCTCAGGAGGAACCTGTCCCCGTGTCGAGCAGGCCGGGGTATGCTTGGGAGCGCTGGGTGGGCGGCCGCGCGGGTGAACCATTGTGGAAGCGCTTGACCACCAGCAACCACATACAGAACACAGAGGTCGTGTTTTGCTGTAAGTATGTTTTTAGTTCGGTTCAGGGTCACGTAGGGGATCGTGGGTCATCTTGTTTTGTTCACCTCCCTTGGACTCTCCACTAACCACCAATCAGGATCCCCTGACAACCTGTTCTTCGCTAATACTTCTAAGGACCCACTCCTCCCCCCACAAAAAAAAACAAAAAACTTCCCCATAAGGGTGATAAGGTTTTTTTTTTTTTTTTTTCTTTTTGGGGGGTTTCTTAAGCAAGTAGTAGTTGAGTCTGAAAGGTAGAGATTTTTTTAAGTTTTAGTTTTTTTTTTTATTTTTAGTTTTTTTTTCCCCCCCGAACCCTAAACCAACAATCAGCCCTGGTTGAGGGTTTGGGGCCCAACTTGGGGTTTAGGTTTACAGGGTTAGTTTTTAGGGTTTAGGGTTTAGGGTTTAGGTTTAGGGTGTTTAGGTGGGTTTCTTTAACTTCTAACCAACTATATAACCACGATAACCCTTAAGCTGATACCCCTTAAAATTTCTGATATTAATTAATACATTTGGGTTCTAATACAGTTTAGACTTAATAAGTACAAAGTCAAGGAGTTTAGGGTTCGGGGGTTTCCAAGTCTAGGGTAGCCTGGGTGGCACGCAAAACCAGCCCAAGTTTAGGGGACCCTCAACCCTAAACCTAAAAGTGTAAACCCTAAAAACCCTAACCCTAAACCCGCTAACCCTAACCCTAAACCCTAAACCCTAAACCTAACCCTAAACCCTAAAACACCTCAAACCCTGAACCGCTCTCCATCAAACGCCTCGGAAGGAGGGGCCTCGCCCCGCAGATTGCGGGCACTACCAACTGGCCTCTCATTCCGGTGGAGGTGGCGGCCTGGACTTAGCGTTTGAGGGTTTTGAGGATTTTTAGGGTTTTAGGGTTCAGGTTTTAGGGTTTAGGGTTTAGGGTTTCGGGTTTAGTAGACACCAAGTCCCTACAAACCCTGTATCCCTATAACCCAAAACCCCATCGAGTCCAGCTTTCACACAGAAAAAGATACCCTAAATAAACCCTACGAATCCCCAAATCCTTTAAACCCTACCTTTAATCCTTTCAACCCTAAGTCCAAAACCCTGAGCCTTGAACCTCAGGGGCCCTCACTACCCTCCCTGTCAACCAACCTTCTGCCCCCCCCCCTTAAACCCTAAACCCTCAGCCCTGAACCCCCGCCCACAAGGGAAGCTCTCGCTCTCGCTCTCGCTCTCTCTCTCTTGTTCTCTCTCTGCGAATTGGGTGTTCAGGCTGATAGGGCGAAGATTTAGAATTTAGGGCCTTCGGCCAATTCAAAAAAGCGCCTGAGGGTAGGGCTTAGGGCTTTTGTGGTTTAGGTCTTAAGGTTTATGAAGGGTTTCCTGTATACCGAAGTAGCCACCAAATAACCCCTTCTTCACCCCTAAGGCCCCTTGTAAGGGTCCCTCCTTTCGTCCCTTGAGTTTAGGGTTCAGGGGCTAGTTGCATACATTTAACCTAAGTGCGAAAGTGCGAAGAGCCCCCCCCCCCCCCCATCGCGCACGCAGGTGCTGTGTGACCTTCCGTATGGTCGGCAGTTCGGTACGGAGAAGGCATCCTTTTTGGGAGTCTAGGGTTGAGGGTTCAGGGTTTAGGGTTTCGGGTGGCTTATCAGTTGATTGGTATGTGCTGGCCTGCCTCCCGGTTGCTTCGCATAGTACTGGCTAGACCTCAGTCCAGTGGCAAACATGGTTATTTAGGGTATAGGGTTTAGGGCTGAGGGTTGAGGGTTTAGGGTTGAGGGTACCTTGCCTGAAACCTTCAAGCCTTATGACTCCAAGCCTTGGGATGTTCCCCATTAGATTAGCAGTGCTTAATAGGGATTATAATTGGGGCGGGGAGGGGGGGGATACTCTAATCCCGATCTGTAAGAGGGGGAACATCCCAATCTACACCCTCTACCCGTCTTCGGGAGTACTTAGCCCCTAAACCCTAAACCCTAAACCCTAAACCCTAAACCATAAACCGCTAGTTAGTGCGCAGCACTTCCCGTGCGTTGCGATCTTTTGTTCGGGCTCGAATTTGTTGCTGGGAGAGTGTTCCCCCCAAAGCTCGAGACCGGAAACACTGGGGGTTTAGGGTTTAGGGTTTAGGGTTTTCCTACGAGGAACCCAAAAAGGAGCCAAGAGAATCCTGAAAGGTAATTATACTTGAACTTGTACAATCATGAGAGGTAGCTCTACACGTTAAGATTATGGAATGACTGTCGTGATGATTTTCTAGTTTTGAAGTTTTTGTCGGGTCTTTGCTCGCCGTGTCAGGGGCACTCAGACCTCTGGAGAGTATCCTAAGCCCTAAACCCCAAACCCCAAACCCAAAACTACTTACTAGCTCTCTGATGTCCACATCAACGAGAAGAGCCAGAGTTCTCCTCACACCAACAGCCTACTTGCTTCCAACGCCCCCTCCACCCTCCCTAAACCCTAAACCCTCCTAGCGGTCTGTTTAGGAGCTTCGGGCTTCGGGCGTAAGACTTCGGGTTCAACTGGGTTGGTTTAGGGGTTTAACCCCTGTGAGCACTAAACCCTGATTGATCCCCTGAAACCCCTAAGCCCTAAATCCTAAACCCTAAACCCCAAAACAATAGACCCCTCAACCCCTAGCACCCTAAACTCCTCACCCCTGCGCCCATTTTCTTCGTTGAGCTGCCGGCCTCCCAGACCAATCACTCGCTCTATGCCGCTGCCCTGCGCGAGCTGGCGCGCGTTCTCAAAGAGCCCCGAGGTCGTGCCTTGGCCTTCAAAGCTTAGGGTAGTTAGGATTTCGGGATTAGGGTTCTCAGGGTTTATAGGGTGTATAGGGCCAGGGTTTGCAGGGCTTGTGGGGCTTATAGGATTTAGGGTTTCGGTTTCAACTGAAACCCTAAAGTCAAATTTGGCTTACGGCGGGCGGAGGTGCATTGGGTGGGCAAGCGCCGCACAGCGCAAAACCCAAACCCTCAGATCGGGCTCCAAGCGCCTGAACCCCTAAAGCCCGAACCAATAAAAGAAAGCACACCTCCAACCCCCAATCCTCCAAACCCCGCTCCCTAAACTCCTGAGCCCGTCTAAACCCCTCTACATAAAGCCCTAAAACCCTAAACCCTACACAAACCCCTAAAGCCTGATTGAAACTCCTAAACCCTGAAAGCCTAACCCTGAAAGCCCTAAACCCCAAACCCTGAAAGCCCTAAACCCTGAAAGCCCTAAACCCCTGAACCCTGAACCCTGAACCCTAAACCCTAATCCTAAACCCTGAAAGCCCCTAAACTCCGATCGCCGCACCCGATCTACTGCAGGGGCCATCCTCATCACCACGGCCACGAGCTCCAATCTGGCGGCCATGGCCACTTCCT